CTTGCGTTGCTCGCCGAATCTTGCTTTGTGTACTTGCTAATAAACTCATGCGATGACCTTGTGTTGTTTCGTAATCGCCATGGGATGATCGTGCATCTCCCATCATTGTCACCCTGTAAACGGTAGTCAGCTTCCGGTCAGCATCGCTGCCGACCGTGCCAGCCTTTCCCGCACTAACAGCCGACAGATCGTGGTAAGGTGGATTAACCAACCCACTAGAACAGCAGTCAAACCGGCTGCTGTGTCAGAGTAGAAGGCTCTGCCCTCAGGACAGCCGCCCCATCCGCCGCCTACCTGGTTGTCTCAAGCTCAAGCACAAAAATCTTGATCTCAGCCAACAACGGCGATGGCACAGTGGCTGTGCTACGTGGATCACACACTCGGTAGCCAGCGGTTCGATTCCGCTCCGTCGCCATTTTTCAGAATTTCCTCAACAGGAAATTCTTTCAGACTTCATCTGGCCGCCCTCCCTTCGCTGAGATACCCACGGACAGCCGTCTTTATGGCAGCCTCTGATAGCTGTTACAATATACCAATAATCTGATGGCTAACTGAGCAAGTAGGCGTGCTTTATTTTCCGATTATAGGTAATAACAGTATGACAGTCTTCCTGTGTATAAATGAAAATAACATTTCTCTCAATTTAGACGACCTGGAGCCATTGTGTTCAGAAGTCTTGTTTCGTGATCTTCCACATTGGATCGTCAGTATGAAATCTTTTTTTACCTGGATCTGCATTTCCAGATGAAGCTCAAGCGGTACGTTGTGACGCTAGGAAGACGCGATTTTTTGTTCGACTTTTTCTATTGCTTTTTATTGCTTGAAACGTCATTTGTTTCACTAATGTTTGAACGTAACGTTTTTTTTCCGGGCACAGTCAAGTCGAAACGAAATATTTACCGTGCGCCCGCGCCCTGCCCACTAATTTATCAGCGCCGGTAAACAAATTTTAGCAGCCAGTAAATTTGAACGAGCTTGTCACAAAATTAATATTTTAAAATTTTATTGAATTCGCACAACGTACGAGTAACAAGGTAGCCGTTTCGTTACACCTTATACATCAAGATCTCATTTCATACCGATAAGTGTATATATGACTACATAAAAAGCTACCGGTGTATAGCATTTCGATGGCACCCATCCACAAATTTCATCCTGTCTTTAAACCGAATAGCGGCTTGCTCGTTTTGATGAACGCCTGAAATCTGCTTGGCCTGAAAACACCAAAAATTCAAACCGCCAACTTTGAGATGTATTGCTCCAGCAAGCGAAATATTTGCCCTTTTGTTTTCTTATGGAACGAAGCGCCCCGGGCCGGACCCCGGGCCGGAAGGTCCTTTCTTTCGAGAAAACTTAGTCATTTGTCCGTAGGTCACGCACAAAGCAGTACAGCTTTAGTTGTTTGTGAGGTTGCTTGGATGCGCTCAACAATGTGTGGCAGCTTTCGACCGAGCCGAAGCAAAGGTCCTTTATATTCAGGGAAAGGGGATTTCGTCAGTCGCAATAATGATTTTGAAACATAAAATAAGGAAACAACTTTCAAAAACTTATTTGATAACAAGCACATAATAAAAGTTAAAGGGGACCAAGAATATAATCATGAGTAATAAGAAATAAGAATTTTGATGAACATATGTTTTTATAAGTTATTGAATCTTTGTTTCCCAGTTTTGTCTTTTCGACGTGCATGACCGATGGACAAAAAAAGCCCTGTTTTCTTGAACATAGAAGACCGCTGCTTCGTTTTGGTCGATTAACTTGCGATACCGTAATAGAAACTGATTCTAAAAAAACCGAGATAAACTACGCGCGACACCACAGCTAACGGCACTGTGCTACGCACAGTGCCCAAACATTTTTTATGGTAGCACGACAACTCTATGACCTTCATTTCGCTGACCGACAATTTGATGACCGACCTGTTGCTGACTACCACAACTTGCTGACCGACAAATCGCTGACCGACAGTTCCCTTTCCTACAAAGTGGCTAACCGCCATCTTGCTGAAACAAATTTGCTGAACGACAGCTTACTTGTCGGTCAACGAAATGTCGGTAGTCGACAACTCGCTGACCGACAACTTGTAGAAGACTAAAACTTGCTAACCGACAATTTGCTGACCAGTTCAACAACGCACATTAGCGATCTTTACGCGAAAACCAGAACCTTTGTTGGTTTCATAAAAAGGAAGCAGTACTATGATAGTTATAACTGAAATACAAGTAAATTTTTGCCATTTATTACGCCGCATTAAGTTCACGAGTATGTTATTGTCCCAGTCAGTATTAATTATTTATTAATAACTGTTAAAATGTTTCAATAATTACACCGGTTTCTTAGGTTTCTTAGGTTCTTAGGTTTCTTAGGTTTCTTTGATTGTTAAGTTTCTTTGGTTTCTTAGGTTTCTTAGGTTTATTAGGTTTTTTAGGTTTCTTAGGCTTCTCAGGTTTCTTAGGTTGCGTAATTTTCTTCTGTTTCATAGATTTTTTATGAAATTCACTCGTACGCGCTCGAGCGGAAAAAAGGAGAATTGGACGACTGGAATTGTCAGATCGCTGCATACGCCGGCAGCTGATCATAGCAGGAGAAGTGGTTGTGGTATCCGACATAATCACCCAAAATGAGTTTTCCAAGTGTTTAATGGGTAACAGACTACGCAAATTTGTGGTCAGCGAGTTATCGGTATTTCCATAAAACGTCGGTCAGTAAAATGTCGGTCAACAATTTAGTAAGTAAGAAAATTGTCGGGTAAACATTCTGTCAGCCAACAAAATGTCGTCAGCAAATTGTCTGTGTCAGCGAACTGTCGTTCAGCAAGATGTCGTTCAGCGATTTGTTGTTTCAACAAACTGTCGGGTCAACATTTTGTCGGTCAGCAAATAGTCGTCAGCAAGTTGTCGGTCAGCAAGATGACCGTCAGCGAGTTGTCGGTGTGCCATTTTTTATAGCGGCTGAAGCTACGGAAGGTTTTGTACTTTAAGTTTAAAACGGTTAGCCCTTATTAGCCTGCCCGTAGTGTTTTACCAATAACATTCTAAAACGAATTCGTGGTCAAAGAAATATTCAACGAAGAACGATTTAATAATTGGACCTGTGATAACTAACAAATACACCAGATATCGCCTTTTAGTTTGACCTAGCGAGCTTGACTTCAGTGATCAGCGAAGGTTTCCCAACACTAAAAAGAAATGGCAAGCCCAGATCTGCTGAAATAATGTTGATCCGAGACGCAGCCTCGTTTTGCCAGTTTACCAACCTTTGCAGTCTGTCCTCTGGTTTGGATTTTGGACTTACCGTTTTTTATCAATTGGTGACCCTCCCCGCTTTAGAAGTCCACCCCGAAATAAAGACCCACTGAGGGGTCGTTTTTGCAAAACTCCTCCTTTGAAAAGAAAGTTTTCCCCGTAATAAGACCTCATCCAAAACCCTTACGAAAAAATAGCAACGGTGGGTCACTACTTGATAATAAAGTAACCAGAACAGGTGAAAGTCTAGTCCCGGGCGAACACCCATTTCGATCACAGCCCGTCCCGAGTTCGGCCCGAGCTTCGGTCCGACATGCCCCTCGGCCTGTCATGCAGCACAATAATACTTTTTCTTCTGGATGTCGTTATGCAAGCGGCGACAAAGAGGATGTCCACATACAAATAGGCGGTATTCGCTCAGAAAACGTTTAATGCTGCGCAAATTAAATACTGACTTTCGGTAAATCCTAGTTGAAATTTTTGTTATTCTACGTCTTTTTCCATATTTAACGGCATTTGCGGGCCAGTCGATTCTCCTAGGCCGAGGTCCCTCCCAAAAGTGTTGGGCCGGAATATCACTTACCTGGCCACGCTTTTATATTTCGTTATTTTCATGGGTATTACCTAAGAAAACAAAACAATGTGTTTTCTTAGGTAACGCAGTGTGCATGTAGCTTGCAATAATCTACACCTAGGGCCCATTTCGTACCTTTCTACAAAATTGACCCGTTTGTTTTGTTCACTGTATTCCCCGTATTCGTATGCATTCACATGTATTCTGTCTGTGTTCATGCTGTATAAATGGCTCCATTATTTTGCTTTGCAAGTACGTCGGACTGTCTTCCTGTGTTTTATTACCGTATTCCCATGACATTGTATTCTACCCGCATGCTGTCCGTGTTCACAGTGTATTCTTCGGCTGCTGAGGTTTTCAACTAAAACAGTGTGGAATGCGTGGTAAATACAGGTCGAATACAATCTGACTAAATGAGGAGGCTACGGTCTATGTTAAAAAGCCAGCGAACAGCCTTTTTTGCCCGCTGAGGCTGGTTGATCAATGCAGCCTCTCTGTTGTGACTATAAATAGACTGAAGACAGCGCATTCCGGTGCTGCCAAAAAGCGCAAGCGGAGTGCTGCCTTGCTGTATCGATCGATCGCGCACATGTGTGTGTGAGTGGGTAAATCCGCTCGCATTCACTTACACACGTATGAGTGTGGCTGTCTGTGCGCGTACTAGCTGTACAAACCGGTTTTCGCTGTCTTCGCTACAACGCATACCCTAAACCCGTAGCTTCCTTTCTTGCTCGCATTGTACGTGGGAATGCGGTAAGACGGTCGAATACGTGGGAATGCTGCAGGAAGACAGCAGTCATGGAGGCGAGATAAAGGCAGGGTGTAAAATGTGGCAGTGGCACCTGCCACTGGCATGTGGCATTTCGCCACTGGCAAGCGGTAAAACATGACAATTTTCAAGAGTGCGAAACAACCAGAAATCAGTCTGCCATCAACAAAAGTAATCTATAAAACGGAATCGATTCCAATAAACATCTTTGTGCACTTACATGCCAGCGGCTAATCAACGACCTGTACCGCGCTTACCACCGAACCGGACGCTGCAGCGCCGGAAAGTAAATTTATGTACTACGAAAGTTTCTTTTACAATTTTTTATTTCTTTAATGTTCAAAATTTTTTAAATTCCCTAATTCAACAATAGATAAATTTCCTTAATTTGTTATGCTTTCTTATATTTCAACATGTTTTCTTAAATTTTCGTAATTTTTTTGTGTTAGTCGGTTTTTTGTACTTTATAAAACTTGGCAACACTGAGTATGCATCCTATACTGGATGTCTTTAGCTGGAGCCGGAAATACGGTACATGGAAAGTTGCAATTTTCTAGGATATTGCGCTTTTCCGGCCTCTGATTCGCCTCGCAGCATTTGTTTAACGACATACTACTGATGAAAACAAGCTGCAGTACGACAGAATGCTGACCAGCAATTCACTTTTCTTCAATTTTGTTGCGCGACTTGTTGCAGAAACAGTCTTGTTGAAAGGTAGTTTGCTTGTTGGTCTTGGAAAGCTAAATAAAAGATTAAGGAGCTCCAAGAAACCATACCGATAAAGTGTGACAAAGTACACAACACTGAAAAACACGTAAAATAGGTAAAGTAAATACAACCAAAGGAATTTAAGAAATTGTTGTGCTACCTAAGTCTATTTTGAGGCGCTAAGAGCGCTCATTGCGTCGCTAGGGGCGTTACAGGTCGTAGGCTGGCAGCTGAGTGTCCTTTGGTCTTATTGACCCGCGCACTAACTGCGACCGGAAGTTGGAAGTAAGAATATTCTTCTACTGGTTCCTGCAGGACTTCAAATTAGGATTCCTGGTTCGTGTTCCTGATTAGATTCTGTCGGTTTGTTTCCTGTAAGAGTTGAGTTAAAAGTTTGCTCTACCAATTGAGTCGTGGCAGGGAAGTGGTTAACCTCATACGCAAACCCGTGGAACGTGTTTGTACACGAAAGTTTCGTTTTACAATTCAATTTTCTGGATGGCTGTGAAGTCTCTCCGTATTGTAGTTAATATTTATTAATTAACCACACATCAGTACAATCGATACTGAATGATAACTGGTAATAACAACAAGTAAGAAGTATCACAATAACCATCGTTGCTATACGACAATAGGTACAGTCTATACATGTACGTACACTACAATGGCTGACCGATTTCTAATTATTTCGACATTTTTGAAAAAAAATTTTACCGCATGCCACCCCCAAAATGGCACATGCCACTGCCGGTGGCAAATGCCAGTGCCAACTGCCACCTATTACACCCTGCCCGAAATACGAGAACTAGGGAATGCTTCAGAAATACAGGCAGAATGCGGGTGGTATACGTGGGATTCGGTGGGAATACGGGCACAGTCCACAGGACCTACCAATCTTGCTGCGACTAAGGTACAGTTAGTCTTCAGCTGCATCCCATGTATTCCATCCGTATTCTGCCGGTATTCCAACTGTATTTGCTTGGTGTTTTCCACTATCTGGCTCTTAGGCATCATTGTCTTCTAGTGTGTCCCCGTATTTTCCCGTATTCCGCCCGTATTCCCCATGTATTCCTGGGTTTCTTAATTATAAAATTAAAATACGCCTTGAAGTCGAACAGAATACTTGCGGAATACGTGAAAATACCTCGGCACACTAAAGAATACTGCAGCCATACATAGGAGCTAAATACTAAAAAAACTGAAGGAGTACAGGCGGAATACGGGCTAACCGGCACAGAATACTGAAATCGTAATTGTTATAGCGGAAGCAAAGAATACAGAATAATTACAGTACGAATACAACCGGAATACTTAGAAATACATGTAATACAGTAACAAAAAAGGGGGTTGGTTTTCTAGAGTGGTACGAAATGAGCCATATCTACATCTAAATCTATATAGATTTAGATGTGCAATAGTGCTGACCGCTAACGTTTGAACAGAGTCTGCGCATTATGGCACAAACTGCTGAACAAGCCTCACACTACCGAGCACATTCGCGTTTGTGTGGAAAGCCTGGAGAGACAAACCACGGCCGACAATTATAACTGCTTCCGCATGGCCGTGCTGCTCACTCGCGCCGTCACCGCAGCGACCCGCTGTTTCACGATCACGGGCTCTCCCGACGAGTGCCAGTTATTTCTGGTTCGATTGCTGAAAGCTATGAAGGTCGCGCAGATTCACGTGCCCCTGATCGTATTGAAGGACTACATCCTGGACGGGCACTATGGATCGAGTAACTGGGAAAACAAGTTTTGTCTGCGACATTCCATGACGATGGAGGCCACACCATTTCAAGGCTGCTGTGGTCGGCTGGCGCTGTACAATTGGAAAGTTAGCCATCTGTTTGGCCGCGCCATGAATCAGGTGCTCGTCGAGGAGGGTTTGCATAAGCTGCAGTCTCTTCCGCTGCGGGAAAAGATGTTGATGCGGCCCCTGGGATGGGACCACGTGCTGGCCGTTGATCACTTGGAGGTTACGCTGCCGCGGGTCGTTCTCGACTATGGCAAAGGCGAGGCTGGGATGATGGCCAGCCGCATCATGTGCGCCGTCAACGAGCACTTTCCGCCGGTTACGGATGAGATGCACGCAAAGGTCAAGGCCGTTTATAATCGTTGGGTGCGCCAACTGGTTTATCCGGTGGAGTGGGAGCGCATTCGCAGCTATCTTTCACTGTAAGTCTGGCGCGTTTCATGCGTCAAGATGCGCAGCCATATATGCGTTCTTCATAGTAATGGCCGACGATGTACAAGCCTGTCGACAAATTGAGCATTCGTAATACAGCGAGCTTTAGAAATTTACGGGTAATGCTTAAATCTAAAATCCGTACTACGGCGCACCACGCCACACTGTTTAAACACGTAACATGCGTTTGGCTGGCTGGTGGCTTGGTGCACCCCATATATTTTAATGGGAATAACTATACCGCAAGTGCCTGGTGGAATGTGGCTAGCCAGGCTAGTTAACAGTCAGTGCAGTTAAGAAACGATCGAACCGCGGAGCGCAGTTAAGCATTGCAATAACCGTAGTGCAGTGGCTATCACTAATATTATTGTTCTGCCTGTACTTACTTTTACATGCTCAGTTGGTCGTCAGGCTTGTACATTTAGCAACAATTTGCACGAACAAGCATGAATTAATAGCAATATTCCACATTAACGTAAGATATTTTCAATATTGCCTTATAGGTTCAGCGGTTTTCACTCGGATGGCACTCCTCGATCCTGGGTGGACGTGGATCTGACACTCGGGGATACGGCCGAGCTGAGCAAAATGGCACTGTATGGGATTAACGAGATATTTATGGCTGATCAGTAGCCACTAGACCCGCACGACAATGCCGCAAACGATTGTCGCGCAACTTGACACGGCTTCACATACCGGACAGGATGGGTCCCATTGGTTCGCCTGTTCAGATATACGTTTCTGGAAGGTTCAAGAGCTCTCGTAATACTAGCATTTGCTGCAATATGACTAAGCAAGAAAAGCCCTAAAAGAGCGAAGACTACTTATCAGTTATCTGTATAACGAAGCATATTCGCATAATTTTCATTTACGTGACCTTTTAATCCATGGGAGGATTAAGTTTTTGATTTTTCTTAATGTTCAATTTTGATGGTAAAGTGGTGTGCCCACACTTGCACCTTGTGTTATTTTCATGGTTATTTTCTTTAAAGTTATAAACTGTTAAACTTGTTCATGTACTTGACCTTCAAAGACTTCACTCGACTCCGATGTTTTTTTTTTTATTTTCAAAAAACAAACTGCAGATTCAGGATCAGCGTAAGATTTCACTATGGCTTTCTGTCTGTATAAAGTTTGTAGCCCTAATGCCATGGATCGTCTGAGAATCACTGCCACACGTTTACAACTTGATGGACGTTTTGGACATTGTATTTATTTTGTCTTTCGAGAAATGTCAACGAGGCGTGACGGCAAAAAAAGTACTGAATTTTTCCCCAGTTGGTTTCGCTAACATTACCTATCCACCTTGGTACCACTGTGCCGCTGTACAGATACGTATCAGCGACTTTTTATTAAACAGACTGACACATACGCTTCCAGTATGCTGATTTTGTTAAGCATTAAGGGGGCGAGCCGCTTTTCAGTGGGTAAGCCGAGCCAACCTCCAACGCGATAATAAAAGTAAAAGCAAACTGATTCGACGCTGATATAAACGCTAAACGTTTATAGGACCCGGACCTGGAGTCTAATGATCAGATAAAAGCCGGGTCCTATAGAAATTAAGCAGCGCTTCTCATTGTGCCTATTTGCGCAGCCGGCGGTGCAACTTACGGATCTGCCGCGATTTTGAAAATTCTGATCTTCTTACAGTGCAAAGTAAACAACAAAATCATGCGGGTTGATTTTTTTCTTCACAGTATTTTCACCTGTGCATTCGATCACTTCCTCAAATATGTCCTCAAATATTATAATTATCACTTTGTCGTTTTTCCAAAGGAGGTATCCAGTTACGGCCAATTCCTGGCCGAGTTTTTCTTTGCTGCAGCTTTCGATGCGCAGTCTTGGAACTGACGTGTGGGAGTAGGATTACACGCTGGAGTAAGTACAGGATGCTGACTGTCCGCCTTCCACCTGCAGCACAAACGGATAATCTAGTCAATCTATGCTGTGATTTGCTGTCCTCTTTTACTAGCGGTGTATATGATGTCATAACGCGAAGTCTATATAAGTTCTTGTTACTCTTAATATCGGAATCAGTAGTCTGAGATTTACTTCTGAGACTGTTTTCTAATTACGATTTCCTAGCGTTGTGAACTGTGATGTGAATTGTATAAAGAGACAGCAATACTTGTTCCTACGGAAGTGCATAGTCGTTCCCGGATTATCGCTTAGTATACAGGTTTGCTCGTGACACAATCGTCCTAGCTCTTGCCGATCCTCACAGGACTTACGACCGGAGATTGTAGTTGGATCTTCATTAGGGATTCCCGATTCGTGTTCCTGATTCGTTTGTCTTATTTCCACCATAGTTCTTCTGTTACAGTTTGAGACAGAGTTGCCTACCGATTGAGCATTACAGGTGTGGAAGAGTAGAGATGGTTCATGGAGCCTTAAACGGCGTGAACGCTTATACACGACATGGCGCCCACCGGTGTCTTTTAATTTTCCCGATGTAACAGAAAATTATTGGTGGAAAAGTTTGATGGTAATTTATTAGTAAAGAGTGGTCCGTGCAGAAAGGCGTCGAACCGCAAAGGTGCGCCGAAGGAGGTCAGCGTTCCTGATCTGGCCTAGTTTAATTTATTTTGGCGAGCTTCCTCGCAATTGTGAGCTTCCTCACTGGTGAGCTTCCTCGCCAATTAATTTAAATTTAATTAAATTGGACCGTAGGAATAAACAGTCGAAACCTCAAAGGTCGGCTGTGTTGGATAGTTCAGTTCGGTGTGGGTAATTTCCGGGTTGTCTGCGCAAAGCAGTAACCGCGGCGAATAAAGTGTAATCTGCAGTGTCAGTGAGCCTGGCCTGCAGATAGAGCAGATAGCGAGCACCAAGCCATTGTCAGTGGCTAGGTGAGATAACGATCTCCAGCAGCTGGATAAAGGCAAGCCGCTAGCGGTAGCCAGAATCAGCAGCCAGAGAGAGTTGACCGTGAAAAAGGTAAACACCGGCAAACGGTGATTGACCTGTGAGTTTAAAATTACTGCGGCACGCAAAGTGCAGCAGGCTAATTTTAGGAATTAGTTACAGTCGAAACCGCAAAGGTCGACTGCCATTTAATTATCACGGAACAATTCAAACCTTAAAGGAGGATTGGGAAGTGATTGTTATTGCACAATAGCAATAACGGTATTTGTCGGAAACAGTAGCACAATCGCTGCTGTGTGTAATATTTTATTTAACCGCAAAGGTTAAATTAAAATACAAGCAGAAATGTCGGGCGGTTCGATTCCCAGAAATCGCCCACCGCCGCGTAGAATTCCGGATCACAAAGTGATTATTGGAGCGTACGAAGGGTCGAGAGCACAGACAAAGTTCAAATTTAACCCGAAAGAAATACCGTTGAATTTAATGTACCTTGCTCTTAATGTCGAACCACCAGAAGCACAAGATGCATTCTGTGGAAAGTCATGGATTGACTACCAGGAAATTAGGCGGATCATAAATCCCAAAACAAAAATACCGGATTATTATAAGCCATGGATTGAATATGAGGGATGTATCCCAGAAGCTTACCTGGATATCACAGAGGAGCAATTTAAAATGGCTCTGCAGGATGCAATTAAATGGCAGCCAGAGTATACGGAAGACTTAGGTCGACGTAGGCTGGCAGCACAAGCAGCACATGCAGCGGCGAAAACAGCACCAAAAACGCCCAGAAAACAACCCATAAATGAACGAGTTACTCGCAGTGCTACGGAGAAATCCCCAGCCCAAGGGCCTGGTTCGTTGATTGATGAACCCATATCGGAAACTCCAAGTGTAGTGGAGAGCCAGACAGAACCCCAGTCGTCTCAGTCGGACAACAATTTGATAGCATTGTCGGGCACGGATAAAGCAGATGTATCTGAGGGATCTGAATCAAAGACAGGCAACGGCATTCGGGGTGGAACGATGACATTCCATCCAGCACAATTGAAACTCCACAGTTTTGTATCCGAAAAAGATTTTAAACAACCGGATGAGGACTTCCTGACCCAAGCTATGGAAGTAGATGAACAGCTCGCAGCGGCTGAAACGGATCAGGACGTGGGATTGATAGCACGGAAAACCATGCCAGTGTTGCTCCAGGGTCTTCGTACCTTAATTGCGTCTACAAAATCAAAAGTGGATGAGATGGGGAACACAATGTCGTTAGATGCCCGCGTTGAAGAAGAAAGAAATCAAAAACTTAGATATCAATCAGATTTCAACGAAATGCGCATCAAGTTCGAAAATGAACAAACCGAAAATGACCGGTTAAGGAATGGCATTCGTGTCGCAGACGTTAACTTAACCCGGTTGCGAGATGCTAGTAAATTAGCACAAAACGCATATGATGGGATGAAGGATGAGCGTGATGTCTTAAAGGACAGTTGGAACTACAGCTGGAAGATGCTCAGAGAGAGCTTACAGCTGCGAAAGTCACAACAGATGGCCTTAAAGCCCAAACGGTTCCAGATACGGTCAAGCATGTTATTGACTTGGACCAAAAGCTAACGAAAGCCTATAAAGATTTGAGATAAAATTTTTAGGACTGGTAATGATGACGTCACGCAGCACTTTACAGGAGAGCGAGAAAACGGTACCGCCCGCCCACGGGGGTCAGAATCGACTTCCATACGCTATCGTGTGCAGGAAACAGTGCTCTATAACCTGGCTCAGAAGGGGTGGCAGTTTGAGAATCGTACGGTGTGCTGTGGCTAGTTTTCTATAACGACCCAGTATCACATTACGTAAAGCAGTTACTTTTTGAACTCGTTTTTCTCGAAAAGTAGTTTTTGAGGCTTTAACTATCATAACCACTGGCTAGCGGTCATTTACCAGCCGATTTCAAAATTTGTTTTTGCTGTATAAACGGGTTCTTAGCAACTACTGTAAGCAGCGTTTAACTCATTCTTCAGTACCTACGTCATCTTTACCAGTCCTAAAAATTTTCTCTCATTTAAGTACTGAAAAAGATGCGCACAAAGTCACAAACAAAAAACTGACTGATGCGCAGAATTTGTGTCAAAAACTTACGAAGGAATTGGATGATGAAAAGAAACGAGCCAAAGACGCTGAAGAGTCTCTTCAACGGGATCTCACGCATGTGAGAGTCCAGCTCAATAATAAGTCTTCGGTCGGTCCAATGCATATTCCCAAGGAAAAGGATGATTTGTCCCAAAAGGAAATTGAAAGGTTGCAAAGTTTGTTGAACACTGAACGGGAAAACGTTCAAAAAACTCAAAAGGAATTAAATGATTTGAAAAGTCATAAAATGCGAGAACGCGATTCAAGCGAAGAATACAGCACAAGCTGACGCCTATGAAAAGTCCGAAAGGTGTAATCGACTGTATGAAGAGAATGCGCAATGCCGAAGAGAATGGCATGAAAAACAAGACCAACTCACCAAGATGGAAGGAGATTTAAGGCAAGCGTGTGACGAACTTCTCCAGTTTCGAAATCCGGATGTTGCTCTTGGTGGCAGTCAGAGATACTTTCAAAGGGAAGCGCCGGTAGCGACAGGAGACGTTTTACGTCCCCCCGCATTCGCGCTATTTAACCCCCAAAATTTTCCGTCATCCGTTGATCAGCCTTTAGCTACTGGCAGTAATCCGGCTAGTATTTTGCGGAGGCCTAGAGAGGAAGCACGAGTCGAATTTACAGAGACTCATTCCATGCCACGTTCATCTTCAGAAAGCCAAATCCCTAAAGAAACGGCAACTGCCAAACAGAAGAAAAATCGCTCAACAGATCT